GGAAAGATTGAGGGCAGGAGGACAGGAGGAGAAGGGAACGACAGAGGATGAGATGGTTAGATGGCATCACCGACTCGATGGACATGGGTTTGGGTAAACTCCGGGAGTTGGTGATGGACAGGAAGATCTGGCGTGCTGCAGTTCATAGGGTCGCAAAGAGTCAGACACGACTGAGCAACTGAACTGAACTGAACTGAAGAACAGAGAAAACCAACCCTTGCATTAGAAATCAAACCATAAGTACTTTTGGTGGGGGTGATATGGAAAGGGAACAAAGAAAGAGCTTTCTAGAGGGCTAGAAGTGCTCTATATCTTGATCTAAGTGGAGTCTAACTGATGTACCTTCACATAAAAATACATTAAGCTGTGCACTTAAGGTTTGTGCACTTTTCTGTACATATATGAGATTTAACAACAAACTCTGAAATTTTAACATGGTTAAGATCCAGTTCCAGAATTACCAAAAGGAAATCTTTTTCTTTTCAGCTTTATGATTGTCTGTAATTTTTATTTTTATAACAAGTATGCACACTTTTTAATTTACAAATGTCAGTTAAAAAAAACTGTACATTACAATTTAGCTATCATTTATTACAACTATGAAATAGCCAAAAGACTAGGAGAAAATAGACTGAAATGTTAAATGATTTTTCTCTCCAGAAAAAGGAGTAATCAATTTTTTCTTATTATTCTGTTTCTCTATTTTCAGCATGCAGTGTTGAGCATGAATTGCTTTTATAAGAGGAAAAAATGTTTAAAGTTTGACTGGCAGAGCTGTCCTTTGCCATAACTGTTACCAGGAGCACCAGGAGAGGAAAATGAGCCAAAACATAGTATTTCTGAGGAACTTGTGGAAGGGTTTACTGACAGAGGATTATATTTTTCAAGGTTTGTATTAGATTTTTAAATATGTTATTTCATGTCATTTTAAATAGGTATTACTTGACCTATAGGACATTGCATGCAGTAAGTATGGAATAAATGTTTACTTTATGAATAAACAGGAGTATTAAAGAAGTCTGTCGGCTCATGTGCATTATATATATTATGTAATAGTATAATCTACCAAAATGGTAAAGTGAACTGTTGTAGCCTAGTGAACCACTGTGAATAGAAACCACTCATCTCAGAGCATCCTTCTTATGCAATGAGACTTTCCCTGCAACACTCTAGGCAACTTTCGCCTATCCAGGCAGACACAAACCACAAAATCAAGCAGAGAAGACTATAAATGTTTCCCTATGAGAAATTTTATGTATCTATCTTTACTTATGCATCTATCTATCTACTACTTTTATGATTTAAAAGGCAAAGCAAAATCACTGTGCAAACACAGAAAATATTAGAAAATACAAAAAATTAATTCTTCATAAATATTTAAAAATTAAAAAATTAATTCTGCATAAGATCATTATTATTAATTTAATGCATGTTTTGACTTTCAGATTAATTTATATTTTAACTTATTTGAGCTTCTTTTTTCCATGTATCATATGCTCTTCCCATGTCATTAAAAATTCTATAAAAACATGCTTTTCTGTGTTGTATAATACATTCAGGTATACAATAATTTATCTAATAATCCCTCTGTTTTAGCACATTTAGGTTTCTCTTTCTTTTCTTTAATTTCCCACACTGTACACTTCACCCTTCTGACTCATTTTGTAACTAGAAGCTTTTACCTCTTAATTTCACTCATCTCCACATCCTCTTTCCCTCCAGCAACCAATTGTTTTTCCTCTGTATCTATGTTTCTGTTTCTATTTTCATGTTTGTTCATTTGTTTTGTATTTTAGATTTCATGGATAAATGAAATGATATGGTATTTTTCTTTCTCTGTGTGACATTTCACTTAGCATAATATCCTCTAGTATTTTGAGGCTAGTGAAAACCCTGGCTTAAAACTCAACATTCAAAAAACTAGATCATGGCATGTGGTCCCATCACTTCATGGCAAATAGATGGGGAAACAATGGAGACAGTGACAGAATTTACTTCCTTGGACTCCAAAATCACTGTAGATGGTGACTCCAGCCATGAAATTAAAAGACTCTTGCTCCTTGGAAGAAAAGCTATGATCAAACTAGGCAGCATATTAAAAAGCAGAGATTACTTTGCCGACAAAGATCCATCTAGTCAAATCTATGGCTTTTCTAGTAGTCATGTATAGATGTGAGAGTTGGATCATAAAGAAAGCTGAGAGCCAAAGAATTGATGTTTTTGAACTGTGGTGTTGGAGAAGACACTTGAGAGTCCCTTGTACAGCAAGGAGATCAAACCATCAATCCTAAAGGAAATCAGTCCTTAATATTCACTGGAAGGATTGATGCTGAAGCTGAAGCTCCAATTCTTTGGCCACCTGATGAGAAGAACTGACTCATTTGAAAATACCCTGATGCTGGGAAAGACTGAAGGCAGGAGGAGAAGGGGACAACAGAGGATGAGATGGTTCAATGGCATCACCAACTCGATGGACATGAGTTTGAGCAAGCTCCAGGAGTTTGTGTTGGACAGGGAAGCCTGGCCTGCTGCAATCCATGGGACTGCAAAGAGCTGGACACAACTGAGTGACTGAACTGACTGAATACCCTCTAGGTTAATTCAGTTGTTGAAATGGAAACTTTTCATTCTTTTACATGGTTGAGTAATAGTCCACTGTATATATGTATTTCACATCTTCATTATACATCTAACAATGAATAACAACTTAGATTGTCTCCATAGTTTAGCTTATTGTGAACAATGTTACAATGAACGTGAGTGCATATACCATCTCGAATTAGTGTTCGATCTCTGGGTTGGGACATGTCTCCTGAATTGGCAGGCAAGTTCTTTGCCACTGCACCATCTGGGAAGGGCTGGCAATAGTAACTTTAACTTTTCTAATCTCATCCAAATGCCTAAAGTAAAGGACAAGTATGCCTTTAAGATGTAATCTTTGATTATCAGTCTTAGATGAACAAAGTGTACAGATCAAAGGTGACACTTGTTATTCATTAATGTACATTTCTTAAACTGCAAACTCTAACAAATCAAATCCATTGAAAGTTACATATCTGAACTCTTTCCACATTAGTTCTTTATCCTCGTTAGTATTTTAGAATTCCTATTGTGTGTGGTCAGCTTTCTAAAATAGATCAAATGTTCCCCACCCCCACTGAAAGTATACAAAGGGGCCATACGTAATTTTTTTTAACATGTACACTACATTATATTGACAATAATGAGACATTTAGCACAGGGGTGTATTAGTTAGGAGTCTCCAGAGAAACAGAATGAATAAAGTATTAATATATCTAGAAAAAGAGATTTATTGTAAGGCATTGGCTCAAAATTGTGATGACTTGCAGGTCTGAAATCTATAGGGCTGGTGAGTAGGCTATAAGAGCACAAGAGAGTTGATATTGCAGTCTTGAGTTTGAAATCCACAGGGAAGGCCAACCAAGTTGGAAACCCAGGCAAAGTTTCTATGATGCATTCTTGAGGCATAATTCTTTTTTCTTTAGGAAATCTCAGCCTTCACTTTTAAGGCCTTCAGCTGATTGGATGAGTCCCAGCCATAAATATACCTTCATAGCAACATCTAGACTAATCCTTGACCAAATAACTGGGCACATAGCCTAGCCAAGTTGATAGATAACATTAACCATCACAGGGGGTATTTAGGTTTGTTTGGTTTAGTTGAGTTTGGGTTCAGATTTATGATGGTGGTAGTAGTTATAATGGTAATATCAAGGAACTATAATATTTCCTCCATTAGAATTTTTCTGCATATTCACATTCAGGCTATGGTAAGATAGCTGCAATTCAGAAGCCAGGCTGCTGAGATATCAAGCTATTTTGCAAAATGTTATGCAATCAAATTCTACATAATTCTATTATGGTATGCTATTAACGCAGTCAAAATTATATGGTTAATATTTGTAATTGACTATTGTATTTACAGTGGTTCTAATAACTGTGTGATATAACTAGAATTAATCTATGTCAATAGATGAGTCAAAATATGGAGTGATTATTTAAATACTAGTAATTTAAATTTATATATGTAAAAATTTTTAATGACTCCTTCCTCATCAGCCTAGGTCATAAAAATAAGCTAAATAAAGATTTCAACTATCAAAGTCAATCTTAGAAGACAAAGTAGGTAGGTGGAGAATCCTATAACTGGAGAACATTACTCTCTTCCTCCTGCACCTCACAGCTTAGTCTAAAATATATCACCATGGACAGTAGGCCTCCAAGACTGAAATGAAATGTGGCTTTGTAAACAGAATATGGACTCTGGAGTCAGAAACTCTACTGTTTGCTGGTTGGGCAGTTTCAGATGTCTCAGTAATAAAGGATTTCATTGTGAAGGTTATTGGGGATTAAATGTGTCGGTCCTTGGAAAGTATCTACTACAGAGCTATACTGGGGAAGGAAATGGCAACCCACTACAATATTCTTGCCTGTGAAATCTCATGGAGAGAGGAACCTGTCAGGCTACAGTCCATGGGGTCACAAGTCGGGTACAACTTAGCAACTAAACCACCACAGAGCCTTATGGTTCCTAAACACTTAATAAAAGGGGGTTTTACTGCTCTCTTTGCCCTCCACAATGGCTTGTGAAATCCCATTCACTGGCTCATTCTTCCTCACACAACAGACCTCTGAGCTTTCCCTTACTACATTTAACTCCATTGCCTCAGCTTCATGATTCACCCTTCATTTGTTTCAAGGAACCTAGAAATGTTTTTCACTTTTAATCATCAAACATTTATTAAGTCCCTAACTGCCTCAAGAGTTACAAAGATGAATGAAGCCCAATCTCTGGTCTCAAAATCCCTGAAAATTAGAAATTATTCCAGAGCCCAGACAGAGTAAGTTCCTTTCCAGTATCCTAAGTTTAAGATCCTCCAAAGTATTCTGAAATCTTTACAGCCTCTTGGTTCCCCTCTTCCTTTCCTCCTGCCTCTAAGTTCTAGTTCTTTGTTACGACACACATTCCAGAACTTTCCTGTAGTCTGCTTAGGTCTGATCAACCTGAGCCACACGATTCCTCTGTGACTCTCTGCATCCTTGTTTACAAGGGCCTCCCCCACATCCAAGTTCATACTACTCAGAAACAGTGAGCTTGGGGTGTTTGTTTTATCTTGATCACCCTCTGACAAAGAAATCCAGATGACACAGAACCCACTGAAGACAATACCTGGAACATGGCAGTCTTGGGTATGGACTGACACCTTCTCTGAGGCCTCCTTGACCCTATTGGATCAGGAGTCTTCTCTTTGGGAACTTAATACAACTGCTCTCCCTTCCTTGCCTGCTTTCTTTCAAATTCAATATCCTTTCTTTCGCTCTCATTGATTTCTCTGAAAGCCTGAGGAAAACCCACATTCAACCTGTAGAGTGAGTGCTGATTTCTCCTTCAGTTTCTGGGGCTGGAATTGGTCAAAGAAAATAGCTATTTTCTGGAGAAACAGGAAAATTCCTCAGTCTTTTGTCTCACTGCCTGTAATACTGCTCACTTTATAATCTTCCTCAATTCTTCCTCTTATTTTCTTCAGGAAGAGACAGGAGCATTTTCTTAGTGGTCTAACATAAGAACATTCCAGGCACCATTCAAGAGGCTTGATCCAATATCCTACGTGTTTGTTCCTTCTTCCCCTAAGGGTTATTTCATATCAGATATGAAATTACTTTCATGATAGAGGCCAAACTATTTGCTCTTCATTTTAGTGGTCTATTAAGAGCAAATCTCTGGAGGTTATTTGGTAAGAGAATGTTCTCTTCTGACCTAATACCTAGAAGGCTCAGCAAACATTTTCCTAATTTTCCCTAAGTGGAGGTATATTGTTACATCTTGAGGTGAATTCACACATTGCTTTTCTGCAGTATCCTTAATCTTGGTATAATTTTCTTAGCCCTTCAAAGTCCATTTTTCTTCAGCATTTTTCACAGTCATAGGCAGATTCATGGTTCGTTCTTTCCTTCATTCATTCCTCCCATTCTTTCTCCCATCCTTCCTCATTCCTACCTTTGTTTTATCTCTCTCTCTTTCCACCTTTCCTTCCTTTTTTTCCTTCTCCAAATGCCTCCACAGTCTATGCTCTTCATAACCACAGCAATATAATCTTGTTAAGATTCTCTCTCTAGTGACACATAAACACACACTAAGGTTAGAAAGTCTCACTGTGCTCTCTCCTACTGACCACAGTAGCAACCCTCATAAATATCTATCTTATAATGAAGGACTTGGGAAGTGATGTTTGAGGGGTCTTTTTCAATAAGAAATTTCTGTCCTCTGCTGTGACTTGCATTAGTATGAACTGAATGACCTACAGTCAAATTTTTTGATCACCCATGAAAAAATGTTGAACATTCATTTCTTAAATATGTATAATGCAAATTTTATGAACATATTACTCTACTAATACATAAAGAAAACAGAAAGTCTATAAAAATTTTTACAGACTTTAAAATAGAAAGTCTATAAAATTTTAAGTTATAGATTAGATAAAAATAAAACTAATATTTCTTTCTAACATCCCAATGGATTTCTTTACATGCCACTGGCTCCGCTAACAATCTCTTGCCCACAGAGTAAGGAATTCAATGAAGAGGAAATCTGTCAGATTTCCCACTCTAAACCAAGGGTACAAGCATTTGAGGGTCTTAGTATCTGACCAAAAGGACCAACAGAAAAGTCAAGAAATGGGAGGGAAAATAAGTGGAGACAATATGATGATGAAAAAGGAAGAACAGAGTTGAGGCAGCACAAAAGGGGGTGAAGGGGAAATGTCTATCTGTATGTAAGAGGTGCCCAGAAATTGTCTCTGATAATGACCACATCTAAATAAACAGGTTACAGGTGAGTTTTCATTTCAGAAATAGTTTTGGCTGTTATCCTGACTCTACTGGGATTTGCCATTCTCGCTATTTTGTTAACAAGATGGACACGGCGCAAGCAAAATGGTGAGTAACAATGAGTGAAAATGGAGATTCTCTATGAAAGCCACAGAGGCAGGAATGTCAAGATTCAGTCTGAGTTTGTTTCTATTTACCAAATATCTAGAGACTTTGCCAATATTCTGGAAATCCATTTCAATACATGTAATCTCTGACCTATTAGTGATTCCCCCTGCATCACACATTACAGAAAAAAAAAAAAGATCACATTGAGTTTAACAAGAGAAATAATATGAATAGTCTAAAAGAAAGTTATCTGAGCTCCAAGGGAAATTACCTTAGGAAAAGAAAACAGAAGAGAGAAGGCACTACACTGGTAGATACCACTGGTTAATATTTTATGGAAAGAATTCAATATTTTTAGTGATTAGGGAGCTGATAAGAAGAAACAAATATAGAGTAATAGTTGTCAGTGAAACAGAGATATGGCTTAGATCTACATTGACCTATTCATGTGCCATGAGATATCTTCAGGAATTTTTTTAGCATCTTCCCCACTTTCTTCTAGTCAACTGCATCCCCTCCTTATTTCTCATATTCAATGCCTATAAGCTCTCAGAGAATAGTAAGTCATACGGAAGGATAAACAAAACAAGGCTGACTGGAGGCATGTGAGAAAAGGTAGGAACCAGTAACGCATGATGTCAAGACCATTTGGGGAGCAAAGAAGCATGGTTTAGAGTGAGGAGAGTTGAAACAGGATAAAGAACACCTCTCACAAGTGGCTAATAGAAATATTTTTGCTTAATTCTTCCACAGAAATTGATATCTCAAGATACAGTTCTGAACAAAGTAAGTACTTATACCCATGAGAAAAACAAAGTAAGCATTTATGAAATTTCCATAAATCAGGGACCAAATCTGTCTTGTTTACCATTGCATTTCCAGCACCTTGCATAGTGCATCATTCCATGAACTGAACTTCTAAGTTACTGGGAAAATTTAACCAAGAGGGAAAAGTGACTTTGAGACCCCTTTTGATTATTATTCAGCCCAGATAATATTATGAAAATGGTGACTGGCATGGTCACTTAGCATAATCTACTCCTGCTACTTATGTACAGTCCTTAGTTCCTACAAAGTAAATTAATTCCCCATCATTACCTGTTGTCAGGAGTTCATGTCTACATTAGGTCTCAGAGTCTTAAAGCCCCACTAATTTTCAAGAAGCAAAATCATGGAGCTCTCTCTCCTTTTTCTTCCAGGTGCTGGTCTGCTGGACTATGAGGATGACAGAGGTAAATAAACTAGGAAATACTAGAGAAAAACTAGGAAAGTGTTCCTGAGGGGATAAAATGGACTCATCTCCCTTTGAGCATGATTTATTACATAGCAAGTCTTTTGTTGTTATAATTTCCAACTGCCAAATCGTCTCCTTCTGCATATACAAATATGTGAAAGATTGTGTATTTTTTTCTCAGAAAAGACAAATATGTTCCCTTCTTAAGACCACTAAAAGAACTCTTTCCAGTTCCTGTTAATCCCAAGATCTTGGAAAGGTTAATGAACTTTTGAAAGGAAACAATTACCTGGATGTGTAAAATGAGAATAAAATACATAATTCATGAGCTGTCATGAAGCAGCATACATGAGGATACTTTATAAGGTATAAAGTATAAGAAGTGAGCACAACTTATATTATTATCTTCATGTTAGAAGATAAAATTGATACACAAAGGGTTAAGATACTTATCCAAATTCACCTAGCAAAGGAAGGAGTTGAGTAGTGAAGCCAATTTGTGGCCCTGAACTCAACATTCATACTCTTACATCTTACTACCCAAAATTTATTTAAGACCAAAAAAAAGGCTTATTTTATACTATTTATTATTATAAATAGAGTTACACTCTGTCCCTCAAATCAGAACATGTGGTGTGACATGAGTGATAAAGTGAAATGATAAAGCTTATTTGAAATAAAACATTCAGAAATCCAATGATTCTAAGGAGATTCCAAGGCACACTCTACTTCTTTGTAGGGACACACAACACACAAACTCCAAGCACATAGATTCATATCCCCAGGAGGAAAGAAAAGAGAAGGTAACTTGGTCACTTTGTTTGTCCCACATTTGGACTCTTGGCCCATTTACCCTCCTCTTACCTCTATGATTCATCTGTCCTGACCAACAAGACTGAGGAGCAAAGGGCCCTGACAATTTCCTCTTTCTTTTCTGAAACAGAATCCAAAGAAAATGAGAATATCTGGGAAACTATAAAAATCTCTTAGGAGCTAGATTGAAACTAATGATGAAACATTTCTTGATGGGCTGTTAGTTAACTTAATCTGTTTTTTTCCCCCAAAAGATTTTTCTTCTCCAAGATCTAAAAGAGGAAGAGGTAAATAGATTTTCACCTAATAAGAAAATAATGTCGACATAGTTGTCAAGGTAGAATCTCATTATATTTTCCTCTTCTTGTTTAGGATTCCGGAATTTATACTCAACAGAAAGTGGTAAATAAATTAGATCCCAGCTTGCTAAGAAATTAATACAGAAATTGTTTATCAGAAATTAAGACTCTTTATTTTTTTCCCTCAATCCTCTAGACATTTCATATGATGATCGAGGTAAGTCTATTTAGAGATTATGGTAAAATTAAAGGAAAATCTATACTTGTTTCCTGTTATACATGAAGGGCTATAAAACCTACCCAGGTGAAAGATAAGAAACCAAAGTAACATATAAGATTGTGACATTCAGAAATGTTCACCTTCACACTGTGAGACACTTTTCCCCAAGTGCTATTCAATTCCTCACCTATTTACTTCCTAATTGGTTTAACAAAAGTAATCTGAGTAACTCAGGAGAAATTCAGTATCTTAGAGCTCAGAAATGCTAAATATTCAGTGAGCCTTTCTTAATATAAATGCTAAGAAACAAAGGAATCAACCCCTGAAAATTCATCACATTAGGGTATGATCTGTGCATGGAATGCACTGAATTTATTTTTAATGTTATTAACTTCTATAGCAAATGTAGTGTTTTCTATCTTTAAAATATCCATAGAGTGATAAGAAACAAGTAGCATTAACGGAAAGCAGAGATTTTGTGTGTTTTAGTCTTAATTCACATTACAAAGACAACCAAGTATCTCCTCCAACAAATGAGCTCATACAAATGCTCATACAAGTGAGCTCATATAAATGCTCATACAAATGAACAAAGCACTCATATTCAGAAAAAGAGCTGGGGAAAAAAATACACGCTGTCTTCACAGTTCTGGGTGGATCTTTAACTACCTTAGTAAAATAGCAAATGATACCATTAAGCAACAAAATTTAAGTCACTTCTAGAGTGCCAGTATTATTTATTTTTACATTTTCATGAAAATAACAGTGATAATATGACAAATTTTTGTGTAACAGTGGTAACACATCAAGCTTTGTATGTCTCTGGAAATTTTGTAGAAAATCTATTTCTATGAAATCACTAAAAAACAAGTTTTAGATGAAAGGATATACATCAAATCACAATAAGTATATGCATATGGATTCATTATAATTTGGCATATCATCATTGAACATGAATTTTCAATCAGCTGAGTAAATCTTTTTCCATTTTTTCTCTTATTTGGCCTCAACTTATTTTATAGCTAATATGTACTGTTTTAGTGTTTCCATGTATATAATTCATTATTTCTTCTCACTACACTTATTTACCTTAATTAACCTTTGCTGCCCTTATTTGGCTCATAAACTAAGGCATGAAGAGATTTTGCCTTAGTTTCTTGATTACTTGGATACTGAGGGTGTTGATTGAGTAATTCTCCATAATGATATCAAAGCTATAGAAACAGAAAATTCAAAATGACTTTTCTTTGTTTTGTGTTTTTAGAGGGATACAACAGAAATTACAGTGAGTATCCTCTTATTTCTCAACAAAAGTGTGTTTCCCATTAAGTAACATTTCCCTAGGTTGTTAAAGGTTTGGGGAAAGAGAAATCCTTTCGGTTTATATGACTACTAAGCATTAGACAAGGTCACCCAGTGCTGGTTTAGGATGATCTGTCAGTAACACGTTTCCGAACTGACTGAAAGGAAAGGAAAAAAAAATTAGAGAAAGTGTTGAGTCTGAGAAAAAGGAAGTGATAGAGATAAACAGGGAGAAGAGAGAGAGACAGAAAGGAGAATACAAAAAAATGCAAGCCACAAGTTTCATAGGAATAGCGTCCATCTACTAAAACACGAAACCTTTACAGAGATTGAAGTGATGAGAAATCTGCTGGACATGACTTCCAGTACCCACCACCAAGTCAGTAGATCTCCCTGAGCTGGGGTTTCATCTCCTGGAAGGCTGCAATGACTGAAGCTAATAGGCAAAGTTTAGGGATCCAAATTCTGATGATTTGCCTCCTGTGTCCCTGTGTTGTGTGTGTTTTAGCGCCATCAACCAGCTCCCTCGGTAAGTTCTTTGTGGCTTTCTTTCAATTCTACTGTCATCTGGTTTGCAAGTCCTAAAGTTCCTGTATTTGATTTTTTTTCTTTCTCTTAAAGAAGTTTTAAAAATAAAGTACAAAAATAATTAACACTTGTAAACCCACACCCTAAATTTGATAACTGGTATTATTTTTGTCATAATTCTTAACTGTCAGGTAGAAATCTTCTGTCCCCATTTGTAGATCTATTCTACTCTTTCCTCTTCCCAAAGAGTTATAAGTATAAATCTTTTGCTTATTTTCACATATTTATATAATCGCTCTGTAACACTTAACAACATATAGTATTGTTTTGTATACATTTTTAAAAATTTTACTAAAATGGCATCATTCTAAAACCATCATTATAACATGCTTTTTCCCCCAAGACGCATGGTAATACTGAGATATATAGAAACCCAGATTATGTATTTTAATCATTGAATGATATTCTAACTTACAAACATACATTATTATTTTGTCCCCTACTGATATATTCTTAATGTTTCCAATTTCTTCTGTCACAAATAATACTGTAAAATGTCCTTCAGTAAGTAGAAAATAGTTTATTCAAGGTACCTACCCTGAAGTGAGATGAATGAATCACACTGTATATGAACATTTACATAAGTTAGGGACATTTTAAGTTTACTATTGTGTGAGTTCCATGGTACTTACACGGGAAGCATAGCAAAATGTATAAAAGTTTCCCATTTCCCTGCATCAATTCAAACCTAGATTTTTGTCATACTTTTACACTACTGCCACTTTGATAAGTTAAATTACTTTTTTACAGTCATAGCTGTATATGAATGTTTGGGCATTTTTCCTGTTTATCATTGTTTGCTTAATCCTGTGCCTTTCTTCTTTTACTTTGGCCCAAAGACAATCCTTTAGTGGTTCTTTAAGCCCCATGTGTGTGTAAAAATTTTTCTAAGCCTTTGTATGATCACAGCTTCAGGTCTGGTAACTTCTCTTTCATATTCCTCATTTGCATTAGTTAACTCCAGCTCCTGTAATAAATAAATCTTAAAATTTCAGTGATTCTATTCATAAAATCCTGTTATTCTGTAATATCAGATATGCCTAGCTGATGCTTAGCTCTTCTGTCAGCAATGACTTAAGCATTCAATTTCATCTTAAATCTCCACCATCTTTACCTAATGGCTTCTACATCTTGCCTGCCTGAAGTGAGCAGAGGGGAAAAAGCTTTTAGATCATGAGTGTGAAACTTTTATGGATAAGCCTGGATGTTGTCTCACACATCACTTCCAAATAATTGGCTAGAATTCAATCATATGGCTACACCTAATGGCAAGGGAATATGGGGGCAATAATCTAATCATGTTGTATTAATTTTCTATTGCTACAATAACAAATTGCCACAAACGTAATGGCTTAAAACAACACAAAACTATTTTTTATAGTTCTATAGATTAGAAATCTGACATGTCTCACTTGACTAAAAATCAAGGTGTAGCATGGCTGTATTCTTTCTGGAAATTCTAGGAGTCAATCTGTTTCCTTGCTTTTTCAGCCTCTAGAGGCTGCCCACATTCCTTGGCTTATGGTCCCCCTCATCCACCTTCAAAGCTAATTAAAAAAAGCTAAACTTTCACATCATATCACTCTGAACTTTGTTCATTATTACATCTCTTTCTTTGACTCCCTTCAACTTCCTGCTTCTGCTTTTAACATTTCTTAATATTACACTAGGCCCACATAGATCATACAGAATAATCTCCCTTTTTTAAGATAAATTGATTAGCAACATTAACTCCATTTGCAACCCTGATTCCCTTTCTCCATGTAATCTAACATATTCACAGATTCTGGGGATTAGGATGTGACCATGGAGGACAGGGGAGTGGAGGAGTTCTATATCATTTCCTTATTTCTCAATGCTTGACCCTGGATGTTTTCCTCAGATTATATCATTCACTAATTTTTTCTTTGTTGTTGTTGTTGTTTAGTCACCAAGTTGTGTCTGACTATTTTGCTACACATGGACTGTAACCCGCCAGGCTCCTCTATTCATGGAGATTTCCCAGGCAAGAATGTTGAAGTGGGTTGCCATTTCCTTCTCCAGGGGATCCTCCTGACCCAGGGACTGAACCTACATCTCCTGCATTGCAGGCGGATTCTTTGCCACTGAGCCACTGAGGAAGCCCAATTCTTTCTCTGAGTCTCTTCTCTTTGTTTACCCACCTAATGATTTTTATAATTTAATGACTACATTTGCTACATTTGCTCATTCCATTTTATGCTTTATCAAATATAGCTTCTTCTGAATTAACGTTATTCTTGCTTTATGGATTCTATCCTTTATTAACTTCCCTTGTGGCTCAGCTGGTAAAGAATCCACCTGCAATGTGGGAGACCTAGGTTCAATCCCTGCGTTGGGAAGGTCCACTGAAGAAGGGAAAGGCTACCTACTCCAGTGTTCTGGCCTGGAGAATTCCATGGACACTGTCCATGGGGTCACAAAGAGCTGGACATGACTGAGTGATATTCAATTCACTTCACTTCACTTTTGAAAATCTCTTTTGAATAGCTCTTCCTTCATGTGTTGTCCTATCTGTTGTGGCTACTGTCTATCACAACAGTAGGTTTCCTCAGATGTAGTCTGACCTATGTCTGTGAGCTCACTGGTTATCATCTGTTTGAGTTTCTCATAAATCTTTGTTGTATAATAACCCTACCACTGCACAGACTTTATAGGCCAGTTTTTAAAACAGTTTCTACATGCATAGTTTCTTCCCTACAAGAGGGATTCAAATGTGGGCTCTATACCTGAACTCAGCTTACAGTAAGGTTCTACCATTGCTGATGACTCCATTTCCAGCCATGGCCTGGTGCAAACAGGTCACTTCCTGGCATACACCACCTAACCAACAGGTGAGAATTAATGGTGCCCTTTCCACAGATTGAGCTTTTGTGAGTCTTAGATATACAAGAAGACTAGTCCCAGGCTCTTATAATGCATAAGACATATGGCCTTCATTTTTGTTTCTGATCAGCTGTTGACATCCCAGCCTCCTGTTAAGATACATGAGTGATGAAACTTCCCATTCACTATCCCAAGTATGGATGACCTCTTGATATATTATTCTAGGAGAATTTTTTTCCTAGTTTTCAAACTCAGCTCTACATTTTAAATTTTTAAGAAATATTATGTCCAACTTTTCCAAGTGGTTAGAAACGAGAGTAAAATATCCATCCTGACAGTGAGCCTTGACATTTTATCTTCTAACATTCAGGTACATCCTGTTTTTTCTTGTTATTCAGCATTCCCATAGGACACAAATGATTTTGAAATGGAAACCTTTTGTTGAAGCAGTTATATAGTAACAATTTGGTGCAACAAAGGATCTTTCAAAGGAGAAAATAAGACAAAGAAAATTAAGGAGAGGGAAAAGGAAGAAGAGGAGAGACAAGAAGGAACAGGGGAAAGGACAAAAGAAGCAGGATCAGAAATGAAAGAAGACATGGAGGCAGGAAAATTTCCACGGTCTGAGAAACTATTAATCCCTGAAACAGTGTTATTCTTTTAAGAAAAGAAATTAAATGATGGATTGCATAGATCTTGCAATCCTGCCCTATCTTAAGACTATTACTGATAGAATAAATAAAATCTGAAGTTCATACCCAAAAAGCAATCCACAGATGGATATCCATCTTCCCACCAGACTGCACTGCAACTGATAATAGAAGAGGGAATGTGACCTCTTTCCGTAACCTCTTCCTAATATAGTAGCTATAGAAGCGACTTAGCAGCAGCAGCAGGAGCAACAGCAGAATTTTAAGTTCTCCCTTAGACACACAGATCTTCTTCTTTTTCTGTTTTCTTTTAGCACTGTCTCAATCAAATATTGGTAAGTTCCTTTCAGTTTAGTAGCTCAGCCATGTCCGACTCTTTGCGACCCCATGGATTGCAGTACGCCAGGCTTCCCTGTCCATCACCAAATCCTGGAGCTTACTCAAACTCATGTCCATTGAGTTGGTGATGCCATCCAACCATCTCATCTTCTGTTGTCCCCTTCTCCTNGAGTTAAGCAGTGTGTGCAGGGTCACACAGCTAGCAAGTAAAAGAATGAGGATGTAAATTCAAGCATTCTAGCACCTGATCCCCCACAGTACCTAAAGAGAACTAATTAGGGTCCCATTTTAGAGAGTCTCATGAGAATTATGTGCTTTTTAAATCAATTAATTCAGACTTTTGTAGGTTTTTATTATTCCTCAGTGTAATTCCAGGAATCTTATTTAAGTCTTCTTTCTATTTCTCAATTCAGGAAAGAGAAATGAGAGCAACTGAGTAAAAACAAAGGAGAACATAGGGCAACTAAAGAAAGCTTAGCTAAGGCTAAGGTCTTCCAAGCTCCCTGAAGAGTTTCAACCTTTACAAAGGCTGAGAAGAAAGAGTAAATGGCCTCCATGCTCATCACTTGTCTTAAATATTTCTCTGGGCTTCAGTCACAGCACCAAAGCACAGGATCTTTAAAAATCTGTGGCCAAATCTCACCACAGGTGGAACAGGGAATTGGGTGCTCCCTCAGGAGGGGAGGGTGAGAGTCTTTTTCTCATGCTTCTCTTCAAAAGGGAATTAACTCTGATATTTTAAAGGATTTGGCCTCAAGGATTTATCTGTGTGTCCGTTTAACAGAGATCAGGGATTGAGCATGTTCCCAGTTGTTTCTCCACCATGAAGAATGTCAGCCCTTTTGCTTCTCCATTATCATAGATTTTATCAGTTAATGATGAAAGGCCCAGGAATATAGGACTTCAGCCTATGAATTCAGACTAAGTAAATCATTAAAAGTTGAGCCAAAAAGTTTTGCTAAACCCTATTTTTTTTGAAGATTCACTAAATAAGGTCCTGAAAGATAATGAAAATTATCAAATTTCATATAGCAATTTAAAATTTAACAAGGCAAGTAAGACAAATGCCCATCTTTTCTGCACTAAATATGGTGGGGATTCATTCTACCAAAGTTTGTATGTTACTATTACTGTCATAATTATTATCATTAATAATTATCACAAACTTTCTCTATAATTTATTTTATAAGAGTACTCCAAAGACCAATGGAAGAGAATAGGAAAAAAAATGAGTTTACAAGTAGGAAAGAAATTACTTTTTAAAAGAATATTCCAGGAAGAATAGAAACAGGAGAAAACTGAGTGGGGTACAGAGGAAAGTGCACTAACTTAGAGTCAGAGACACTGGAGGCTAAAACTGCCTATAATTTTTCAGATATTCAGGCACAGACCTTTGCCTCTCTCAGTCTTGGTTTTTGTTTTTATAAAAGTAACATGGCCTTTCTTTGGTTCTTGAAGCTATCACATTTTGGAGAGGATACTCTCCAAACTGAAAAGAGAAAAAGGGTAAGGAATGGAAAATAGGGGAAATAAAAGGTGCTGAATAGAATCATTATATTGGGAATATAGTAAGTTTGAATTCTCTCCCAAAAATTTCTACTCCTGGATAGTGTCCAAGAGGAAAGAAGATTCAAGACTTAAAGATTTGAGAGATGTGGTAACTTGTACCTACTGGAGAACAGAGGGTCTAATGTACAGTTTCTGGAAAGACTTGGGAAATAGGTGAATTATTTAAATAATTAACTCAAGACTGATTTGAATATTTTCTATTGTTCCTTAGTTTTACCTCAACAATCTGTGAGTAAGTTTTCTTTTTCTTTCAAAATCTGATTTGTAAGAGCTCTATATAAAATGAGAGGAGATAAAATCATGTGAACTGAATTCCAGCCTAGAAAATTTAGTGAATCTGTGATTTTAAAATGTTGTTCTGGAGACTTCCCTGGTGATCCAGTGATTAAGACTCTGCACTTTCACTGCAGGGGACACAGGTTTGATCCCTGGTCAGGGAATTAAGATCTTGCATGCCATGCAGCACAGTAATCTGGTTTATAGGGCTCCTATACTAGGCAGAGCTAATCTCCCTGTTTTACCTGTTCCCTGCTTTGTCAGAGTGACCAGGATTGAGGCTCACAATTCTCCACCTTCTCTTTCATTAATTATCTTACCTATGTCATATAAAATGCCACCTGTAGATGTATTTTGTTTGAACAGCATAGCATTATTTTAAGTTTTGTATTTTGTGTTTTTAAATAGGGTGTGCATTTTTCAAATGGCCAAAATCCCCACTAGCCCCATAACTAACATTCATAATTTCATGAGAACTGCTGGCTCCTAACAGCAACTAAGTTTGTGATACCCACAAAGATAACCAGTATTGTGATTTCTGTCCAGTATGGAAAATTTAGCACTTTCTAAGAACTAATCCTGACATTTTCATTAAGAAGAGTAACTATTCTCAAACCGCAATCTTAATTTAAAAAAAGCACATAGTAGTACTTAGGCAAGATACTCATGTCATCATTTTTTAGCTACTTCTCCACTCTGAAAGTCAGTAAGTGGTTATCTTTCACTGTCCTACTTATTATTTTCACCTAGACAAGGCCACAAAACTCTCAGTTTAAAATTTTCCTGTCCTCATTATTCTACAGTACTTTAGGTCAAGAATAGAAAATATATGATATACATGCCACCACTGTTCACACTTTTGCCAGTGGCAGACTTCAATAATGTGTCATAGTTCTCTTTCCTGCTCATTCCTGCTCAGCCCATATGCAACCTAAAAATTCTCCTAATCTCCAGGGAGTTGCTACTTATAATTAGCATACAACTCAAATGTGTTTGTCATTCTTAACAATATATGTATTTTTAAACTACCTTTATTTGGTAGTGGGCATGACATGTTACTTCAATTTATACCATTTAGAAAACTGACGTCTCTTTCCAAATGCTGAAGTAGATCTCATAGTTTATGGAAAAAGCTATTATTTCCCACCTAACATAAAAAACAAACAAAAACAGAGTCATAAATATGCAAATGAAAACAAAGATTTACTATATAGCACTGAGGATTATAGCCATTATCTTGTAATAACTTTTAATGGAGCATAATATGTAAAACACTGAGTCACTATGCCATACACCTGAAACTAACGTATTTTAAATCAACTGTACTTCAATAAGTATAGTTGGGCTTCCTTGGTGGCTCAAAGGGTAAAGCATCTACCCGCAATGCAGGAGACCTGGGTTCAACCCCTGGGTCAGGAAGATCCCCTGGAGAAGGAAATGACAATCCACTCCAGTACTCCTGCCTGGAAAATTCCACAGACAGAGGAGCCTGGCATGATACAGTCAATGGGATCACAAAGAGTCGTACATGACTGAGCAACTTCACTTTATACTTCAATAAAAAAAGAAAAAGAAATTGTAAACTTTGCAACTCACAATATTTCCTACTAAATATAATTGTTTAAATAAGACTTCAGCACTCAAACAGTGATAAACAAAGAGAAATAAAAATAAATAAAAAACAAAGAGCTGAATAGGTTAAAAAAAAAAAAAGGACAAGGTGAGGAAAGTAATAGGGAGCAAGAATATCAGTGAAAATTTCTAAAACAGGAAAGTTAAAGACCAAAGTAGGTTCTAAGTCCAAGTCATAATTTTATATATATGCAAAACCTTGGGAATTCCATGAAAAAATTAACTCATTTCATTAAAAAAAAAATGGGTTCAGTAAAGAGACTTTTGGCATCTGAAAATAAGATGGGTTTTTCAAGCCAGAAATAATAGTTAAGAGACTGCAAGGTAACTAAGGAAAACAAAGGATAGTTTTTTAAGAGTAAAATCACACAGATAAATAAATCAGAAAAACACACTGAAATGCTCATAATTATGTCCTATCACCAACATTCAGAACTTTCTAAATGACAGTAAGAAATAAAAGAGAGAAGCAAGAAAGTAGAAGAAAAGTAAAATAAAGCAGAATACCTTAAATTCAGTGAAAACTTACTATTTTGCAGAAGAATTTCATTCCTTATAGTCACTGAATATTTCTTTCCATAACATTTCTGTTAGAACTTTTCAGCTTTCCTATCCATTATTATGCTTGCTTTTTCACTGCAACATTGCAATGTAAGACAGGAGATATGATTTCCATTTTAAAGATTAGAAAATGTATGTTTCAAAGGTTTAGTGACTTACCCAGTCAAAGAGCTAGAAAGTAGCAAAGCCAGGACTCTCTAACATTGGATCTTTAACCTCAAGGGTATTTGTACCTCACACCCTCTGAAAGTCTAAATCTAAGTGGGATTATATGTGTCAATTTTCTTTCTCTTTTGGTCAAACAGCATTTATTTCTCAAAGTTCTTGTCAATTTTCATCATAGGTGATACAAATGACTTAAAAGCAACTCCAGAACCTTTATGTAAGTTTCCCCTCAACTCAGTTGTTTCCATTTTTACAAAGTGCCTACTACTGTGGGACTGGGCTGGGTGGAGGGGGGAGTGCCTACTATTAGGGGGCTGCGGGGGAGGGAGTTGAGGAGGCACATAAAGATGGAAGAAAGAGAACAATTACTCATTATTTTATTGCTCTCCTTTACTGGTATGAGGAACTTGATGTTGATTTCAGGATCCCCCTAAGTAACTAATGATTTTCTTATTTTGCAAAGTGGAAATTCCACTAATAAAAAATAATTAACCAAAAAGTAAAATAAAATCCCCAGTTCAATGGGGTTATTTGGCAAAAACAAACTTTCAGAAGGATCTGATAGCAAGACAACTACAAAAATTGAGAATACAAAAAATAATTGGAGAGAATATGATCTTATTGGATTCCTAAGGAAAAGGGTTGGGGGGAAATGCAGATTCACCTTCTCACTGCCCTCCATGTAAATCTGATATGTAGTAAATGCTTATTCTGAAGTTCCATGAAATGTACATTCTTCAGTCAAACTTATTTATGTTTACATTTTAGCTGGCACTGTAGGACCCATAAGTAAGTTCTTTTTCTATATTTTAATCCTCCTGTGTTTTGCATTTCTTTACTGTTAGAATATGTAAGACACTCCTATCCCTGGATGTTTTTAACCCCTCCTGCACAACTTGTTAATTCTTTTCTCTTTATTCTCTAGTATTATCTTAACAAGCTAGGTTCCTCCATGAGGAAGTACTGTCAGTTTTAATTATATAAAAATTATGAGATTCGGTGGCAGAGGGAAGTGTTAGAAAAGTAGGAAGTTTCCTTTCTAGAAATCCCAGTAACACTCAGAGGATGAAGATAGTGAGTTCAAACTGGCTGACCTAGGATACCCAGGATATTGTTGACAGTTGTGTGGAATTTATATGCCCTGCTATTACCAAAGAGTAAATCTGGAAGAAGTGTCCAGATAGCATTTTAAATGATACAGCCAAACATTTCTGGTAGAAGCACTAGCAGAGAATAAACAGTGAGAGATGAGTGAGAGGCAGTTGATTTAGAAATGAAAAAAAAAAAAAAAACAGTAAAAGGTAAAAGGAGAAAGCAATGTACAAATGCTCTGAAATTTTAACAGTCCTTTATGGCCTTGATGTATAAAGTGAGTCCAAGGACCTGTGTTGGCATCACCTTGGAGTTTATGAGAAATGCAGAGTCTCAGCCTAACACCCATTCTCAGAACTATTAAATCAGAATCTGCTTTTTAACAAGATCCCCAAGTGATTTGTGTGCATAGTAAAGTTTAGAACTATTGCTTTACAAAGTTTCAATCCTTTTGCATTTGGAAAGGAAATAAAAAGTTGAGTGTACTTGACCTAACTTTAACTAGTTCCTCCATCTCTAAAGATTCTCCACACAAAGAGTAGCCTTAAAGCCAATAATAAGAAAGATGAAACTCAGAGAGATTTGATTAATTTCCTAACACATCTCTATCCATCATTCCTGAAGATGTTCAGAACTTGAACACTTGGGCAGTGGCAACCCTGAAGGGAGGAGGAAGAAGAACAATTGGAGGAGTTAGGGCTCATGGCAAATCACATCCTGTGTCTACTCCTCCTGGAGTGTTTATGCACATGAAACATGATTAAGATAATCAAAATTCAAACTTCAAGCATAAATACTGGAGAGGTGCCACAGAAGTGCACCTAGGAGGTATAGAGGGGTACGTGTGTATGTGTGTAAAGAAAGAGAAAGCTGTTATTGCTAAGCATGGGTATCTCGTGCCTCAATCTCTTTAGCCCCAACTATACCTATGAATGTCTTGGGTCTATTTAGAAATCTCTATTCCCTCTTAGACACTAAGATATTGAAGATGAAGTTAATCTGTTGAATAAGGGAGCCGAGGTCACTTAAAAGAGACAGAAATTTCCACTTCCACCTTCAGAAGATGAGGCTATATTTTCTAGCTAGACAAGTTCAAATTAACCCAGCTGGAGTAAGGACAATGGCCTGTAATCTACAGAGCTACAAATAAGGCACCCACTGTGGAAGGAACACTGACCACTGCACCCTTGCAGCTCCAGCCGCCAGAGCCAGTAGTCCCCAGATCCTCCAAGATGGAGAATGAAGAATAAACTTCATTTACTTTTCCAGTGAAGTGGAAATTTTAGTCCTGGTATCTATACTTCTGATGTTTTCCCAGAAATAATTTCAATGAAAATTGCATTTTCCTACACCAAAGAACCATTCTAATTAGTTCTATCTTGTTTTTCTCATATTTTAGCTGGAACTATTGGCCCAATAAGTGAGTGCCTTTTCTGTTTCCTGATTCTGACATTCTTTGGTCTTCTGTGGGATAAGGGACCCTCTCTTCACCCTGTTTCCATTTCTACATCTCTAGGCTTTCCCAGTCATGCTTCTTGATTGCATTTGAATCTCCTGATGCCTAAGCTAACAGAAATAGATACCCTGAATTGTAACTGACTTTAAGACAAGGGAAAGCCAAATAATTTATATTTAAAATAATGACCAGAAAAAAATTCTCTGAGTTATGATAAAAAATAATCAAAACTGTTACTTATGGGCTTTTCCTAAGTTGAGGGAAGAACTACAAGAAAAACAGGTAGTTCTAGGAGAAGGCAAAAGAATAAGCATGGTGAAGACAAAGGAAGAGATGGTGATTGAAAAAAAGATAAAGGAACTGCCATCTACCTATTCCTAAACAGTTAGAATCCTCTGAGACAGCTGAAAGGTAGAGAAAAGAGAAGAACAGAAGAGGGAGAGGGACGAGGGTGAAGGAGAAGAGAACGACCTTCAGACTAGGTTCTATACGTTCTTCACTTAAGATGAATGCTGAACGATTTGATCCAGTGGGTGGATTATGGGTCTTCCTAGGTTCTTAAAAATAATATTCGTGGCATGAGAATTCAGTTAATATCAAACCACACAATTTCCTTCCTTTTTGTATTTCAGTGCAATTCACAGCACCTATTCGTAAGTACTGAACTTGTTTATCTACTCTGGTTCCTTTGACGTCTGACCTACAGGTCTTTAGAACTGATCTGCCCTTTTTCTTGATACCATGCTTTTTGACTCCCCTAGTATTCCTATCACAGTTTCCTAAAAAGCTCTGAATGAAGTAGAGCTTCTATGGTCTAATGTAAGAAAGTAGAAAAGAAAAGGACCCTCTTAGAAGCAGTCTTAATGCTGTCAGCAAGGGAAGGTTCACTTTTCAAATAACAGTAAGTCCCTAAAGGAACGAGGAGAAAAAGAAAAAAATCTAAGAAAAAAAGAGGCACTACAAATTAGCAGGAATGAGTCTTTCCAAATCCTCAAAAGAGTTTCGATCATCACTGGAAAGGGAAGGCCTCCATTCCTGTAGGTCTCCTAGGCTGTGCAACAGGAAGCCTATCCAAGGACTGCCATACACACAACCTTTGATCTCCCTGGGGTTTTCATTATGACACTCCCTCTAGAGTAAGTGTTGGAGAATGGGTATCTCTTTCACAGTTGTGCAACATACTGATTTCTCTTTCTCTCTCTCTCTCTCTCTCTCTCTCTCTCTCTCTCAGCTGGAGCTACAGGACCTATCAGTAAGTTTGCTGTCTAATTCTTCACTGTAGAGCATTTTAATTGCCTTCAGTATATTAAGGATCCTCCCTTGGATTCCACGTTAGGACTTCAGGGGTTTGGGGGGTCCACATTTTCTTGACCTTTCAATTTTCTTCTACCAAGCATTTCTGCAAGTCATTAATGATTCTGTGAATGTACATTCCACTGCTAAATACAAGCTATAAAGTAAAAGACAAACACTTGTAGAAGGTTTCCAAAGACTTGTCAACATCATACAAAGGACTTTTAAGACCAGAATGAGATGATGTGAAATGAAACAAGGGAGAAGGTAAGATAACCAAGTTTAAATGGAGAAAAATTTTTCCAGTCCTCTACAGAGATTTTAATGGACCACCAGCGTAATCTCTCTTTACTACTTACCCTCTCAGTGGATCCATTAGATGAGGAGCTCTTATATGTAATAGATTTTCTCACCATTCCAGCAAGAAAGGCAACAGCCCCACTACCCAATTGCAGCTTTCCCCAAGTTTGGTTGTACAGAGTCTTACTAGGGGACACAAACCAGAACCTGAAAGCACTTCCTCAGTTTTTTCACTTCTTTTCTTCTTTTTTATTCTTTTATAGAGCTCTCTCAAAAGACCATTGGTAAGTTACCTAAGTCTCAAATTATAACACAGTTTAATCCTTTATAATGCTTAAAGCATCAGTCTATTTTTATTTCAATGATTCATGCCCACAGTCTCCAGGACCAAGTGTTTCCACTGCCTCACTATCCCACCCAGAATTCCTAAAGGCTGGATTCAACCAGGTTCTGCAATAAAAGATATTAACTATGAAGCTGAAAAACAAGTTTAAAAAAAGAAGTTCCCTAAGAATGGTCTTCTGTGAGCTGTTCCCACTTTAGTACATAATCTAGCTCTTTAAAACCAATATGTAATAAAAATTTAGAACATAGCTTCTAAACTTATTGCTTTCTGTGCATGTAATCTTTCATTATATAATCTTCATTTTGTTTAAAAAAAAAAAAAGAAAATTTCAGATTCTTTTCATTTCTAACTACTCTGAAAAGTTCTCTCCAGGATAGGTAGGTTCTATTTCACCAACTTTTAGTAACTTGCCCTGTTGCATTTTTCCATAGAAACATTATAAGTAATGGTTAGGCTTCAAGATACAATTATCCATAATTATATGCTTATAAACAAGAGCAAACAGTCATAGCTTCACACACTGGATTATAGTATTCCTAGCAAAAACTGAAAATATTTTTAAATTATAAAATTAAAGAAATATGATTTTAGGTTCATCTAGGCTCATTTAACAAAATGAATATGACTCTTGTATTTGTATCTAGTCACATTCTTTGAATGATTCTTATAATGCTTTATGACTTTTCTAAATCTCAAATCCATTATGTTGTTAGATTCAACGGTGGTGGGTAAGGCAGATATTATACCCATTCCTCTTCTGCTAGAGTAATCTTGACAATGGTCTGTGCAGATGTCTAAAGAGATCCCATAAGAAAATACCTAAACACATGGGCACTACACTCAAGGAAGCCCAAAGCCATGGCTTTCTAATAGGTATTTATAGTTCTCCCAGTTCAGATGTAGTTCACTGTTCAAGGCTCATCCTTGTGTAAAACTAATGTTGCCAAGTAACATGGCAGATTTACAGTCTTTATCAGGTCACCAAAGGATCAGAGCTAGAAAATCAACTGAAGGCTAAATTCTCATTAAAACTGAAGACTTTGTTGACTCTTTGTCCACAGACACTAAAACTAATCAAGGCAGTCTTTGACCATTTATCAGTTCCCAGTAAGCGGGAAGCTGTGAGAAGACAGGATTTTTCTCTCCCTACCCTAATACCTACTCCTAGAACATATTAGCTGGTCAGAAATACTTTAGTATAGGGTGGTCCCTTGAAAAAGCAATATCTTCTGTTACTGATAGGAAAGAAAAGTATAAACTTTCACATTACTTTACTGTCTCCTTGGTTGACAAGGATCCTAGGAAGCCCTTACCTCAGGCTGAAATAGTGCAGTATATTTGAATATCCCTTTTGTTCTATAGTTAACCAAACTCCTGGATGTTCTCATTACTGATACAACTTCCTCTCCTATACTCTACCTCTCCAAGTCTCATCCCTAAATAAAATTCATTAAAAGATGTATTCTTCATCCGAACACCCATACTCATTTGTCAATTTGGATTTCTTTTTAGTGCAAACTCCAGGACCTATTGGTAAGTTGCCCATATGTATGTGTATATATATATGTATTAATAAGATGCATATGTACATTAATAAGGTACATATGTTCCACTCTTACATATTACTCAAATTAATAACAGTGATAATTATAATAGTGATAATAGTGGTTTGTCAATAATTATTAGAAGATAATTCCAAAGAAAAGATGCAACAGAGAGAATCTGGGCAAGGATGATGTAAGAAATGATGAAGAAGACAATAGAAAGATGGCTCAGAGAGGGATAAAAAATGATGTGAAGAAAAAAAATGAGGCAAATGGAGAGAAGAGAATATAATTAAGATTTTACCTTAAACATTTGGAAAGGCAACAATGAAGTGGTTATCTTGCCAACTAAAACAGGGTTACAAATCTCCTAGAGGAAGATGCGATTCTTATGGAAAGGCTATAGTCCAGCAGCAGTGCAGTAAAAAGTATTTAATCTTGAAAATTGGGATTTAGTTATTCCAGGGAAACCATTTTCATTGCTCTCCTTTGGAAAACATCAATGGTACACATGTGTTTTTCATGTTTAACAAGTACAATAATTCATGTTTGTTTCTGTTTTTAGTACAATATACTGGACCCACTGGTAAGTCCCTTACCTATTTCTTTCCTCTGGTGTTCTACAATGTGTAAAGGGCCTGTTTCCTGTCTTAAATGTATCTATTGCCAGAAAGATAGTGGTTTTAGACATGTTTTCATGCTTCCCAGTTTCTACCTGCCTAGAATTTTCCAGGGCTATTTTTTATAGAAAAGGAATAAGAAAATTCCCTCAATAATGATCAGTAATGGCTTCTAAAACAATATAAAATTTTATAATGTGACAGAAGAAGAATAATAAGGATGACTTTCCAGTTCTGAAGTGCTTTGTAGTTTATAAGGGCCTACTCAAAGATAATGGAGACAATGTAAAGACAATGAGAAAAGGCAGGAAATATTCGAAAATAAATGTAAAAGAGGGAAAAGACAATCAAATGTAAACAGACAGAGGTCTTACCAGGTTCCTTCTAGTTTCCAGGAATATTGCTCAGGATCTAGTCTACCCTGGGATCCCTCATCATTTCCTCCAAGACCTTGTTCTTTCTCAAGTCCCATCCTGCCCAATCACCCCAAACAACCCTCAACACACACACACACACACACACACACACACACACACATATACACACACGAGCTCAGGGAACAGGATATGACAGTAGTTGGGCTGCAATTAACAGGAACTGACAGATTCATCAGGTACCTACAAACCACAAGTAGAAGAAAGTGGAAGGTTAAGTTTGTACTGCAGCTAGAAAGAGCAAACCTGGTGTCAAAATCTGGAGTGTCAAAACCAATCCCATGTGATAGAAAAATTTTAGTATGGAAACTAAGTGATAGCATCCCATAGTTTAAGCCAAATAGGAAAAAATTATCAGAAAGCAAGTTGGGTGTACTCAGACATTACTTCAACTAGCTGAGCTTCTATCACGTATCAGAAACTGATGCACCCTGGGGATAAAGTCATGAATAAGAGAGAGAAAGATGTGGTTGACCTCTGGTGCTGTGGAGTTTATAGTCCTCCAGGATGTCTTGGAAAAAGGAACTCAAAATGTGGTGACTACAGTCAATCTCCCACACAATCATACTATGACTGCTGAAATGGATGTTACCTGCCCTAAATGCTTCTTGTTGTGGATGAATACCAGCCATCATTTACTGACTGTTCCCCTAAATCAAGGCTGCCTTTCTCAGTACTTTTTATTATCACCAAGACTTACAGTCTTGAAAGTTCTCATAATTCTTACAAGGGGGAAAAATCCTAAATCAGTTCACCTCAGAGGATCCCACTGTGGCTAAAGGAAGGGCTCCATTGGTCCAAGTCCCCTAATGGTCACGTGTGCCAGAAAATCTATATAGGTACATCAATTCCCTTTCCCTTCTTTTTCTCCCTGCTTAATCCCTCTCCCTATGTGTAAACACTTTTAAATATATAGCAATGTTTAAATGAATTATATTGCTACATTCATCCCTTCCTAAGCTTTCCCCTAGATTACACATGATTTGGAGAATACACAAAACACATTGATTAATTTTTTAATTAACAAAAACAAGTGCTTCAAATTGGACTAGGAAAGAGAAGCATTTGGAAGAAGACTTTTCAAATCAATTAAAACGTTAGGAAGGAAAAAGACTAGTGAAGATAAGAATGGCAAAAGTACACAGGAGTGCAGAAGCACAAGTTTAAGTTTATGAACATCTGGAAGTGTTTCTTCTATTTACAAGACCCAAAGGGGACAGAAAGGATGGCCACTTTTCTGCCCCAGGCAGGAGCTACAGACCTGAGGATACAAAGAACAGGGGTGGGTGCTTAAACCCAGGCCCTCAGCTAACAGGCAGGTTTCAGAACTCTCTGCAACCTCTCTGCAGTTACTCTTTTTAAGCCCATAATGTGAGAACTGAGTTCTCTTGGTTCTAAAAACTAATTTCTCCTTTTTTTTCCTTCCATTTTTCCACCAGCTGAAACTTCAGAAATGACCTGTAAGTTCCATGCCTGTTCTTATAGTTGCTTTCATCTTCCTACTGGGTCTGGGTATAGAAATTTACGTTTCCCAGTCCCTTGCTCTTTCCACTATCTAGCTGCACCTCACCCCAAGAATAAATGAATTGAGGGGACTACAATCCCACTTAATAACCCAAAATGTATAATGTAATAATATGCACATATATGTAACATATATTATGGGCTTCTCTGGTGGCTCAGACAGTAAAGAATCCACCTGCAATGCAGAAGACCCAGGTTCAATCCCGAGGTAAGGAAGATCCCCTAGACCAGGGGATCATAACCCACTCCAGTATTCTTACCTGGAGAATTCCATGGACAAAGAAGCCTGGCAGGCTACGGTCCATGGGATCACAAAGAGTCAGACATGACTGAGCAACTAACACATTAGTTCAGTTCAGTTCAGTCACTCAGTCGTGTCTGACTCCTCACAACCCCATGAATCACAGCACACCAGGCCTCCCTGTCCATCACCAACCCCTGGAGTTTACCCAAACTCATATCCATCAAGTCGGTGATGCCATTCAGCCATTTCATCCTCTGTCATCCCCTTCTCCTCCTGCCTCCAATCCTTCCCACCATCGGGGTCTTTTCCAATGAGTCAACCCTTCGCATGAGGTGGCCAAAGTATTGGAGTTTCAGCTTCAACATTAGTCCCTCCAGTGAACACCCAGGACTGATCTCCTTTAGGATGGACTGGTTGGATCTCCTTGCAGTCCAAGGGACTCTCAAGAGTCTTCTCCAACACCACAGTTCAAAAGCATCAATT